ATTACAAAACATTTTTTCTTCACATACAAAATAAAATTTCTTCATATGAAATTTTTTGCACAAACACTATTGGCATTTCTAAAAATAAAATACTACTTCCTTTGTCCAAAATAAAAGTTATGTACCATGATATTTACTTTTGGGCTATCTCAAAATCAAAGTCTGATTCTTTTTTTGACAAATGATCATACATAAAATTCACACTGTATCATTCCTTTATAAGTTTATATTAAATCTGTGATTTTATTATTCCAAATTTACTTTAAAGTAGAGGGTATTTAAGGTTTTCCATCCCACTTTTTTAGTGTGTATACACATTGATTATCAAACATTTTTTTCTAAATTCAATTCTATCAATAATCCATGCAATGCACGGGTCGTTGATTAGTTTAATTCATCTAGATCGCTCGCTTCTTAATATGGATCTTGTGACAATGTTTTTGCCACTGCAATGTGCAAAAATCGTATTGTTGTAGGCTCTATAATTAGAACGATTCACTCAAACAAAGTGATTATTAAAAGACCAACCATACAAAATATTTGTAACGCAAAGATACAATTGGAGTGCATATATACAAAAAAAAAGCCTCTTCATCCAAAACATCAAACCAATCCAAGGGAAGAATGTAGCAAGGAAATGTAAGCCTAAATGAATGATTATTAAAAAAAATATTCCACATGTAATCAACTCACCAAGAATATTAAAAAACTGAGCATGCATTACAGATTTATGAGCAAAACTTGCTTGGATGGCCAGTTTAAAAGTTTGATGGAGTTTAATCCAACTACGAGAGTTATATCTACGAGAGCAGAAGAAATTTAGGCAACGTAAGGCTGTATTGTTATTCTGGAATTTGGTCCTTTGATAGGATGTACACAAGAAGTATTTATAGACCCTGGGTACTAGTATTTTAGGAGGAAACCGATACATTAAATGCTATTAATTGAATAAGAGTCTGGTAACGCCTTGGACGTTGTGCAATGATTGCTTCCCTTAGTCAAACTCAAAATTTGATTTCAGTGTTTCATCTTCTTTCTTTTCTAACTCAAAATTTGAAAAGCAACACCAAAGTCTTTCTCTCTAAGAAAGAAAAAAACCTAGGCTTGCCACTTCCCTCATCAAACTTCTATGTGTTCGATTTTAAAAAATGCAATGAGATTCAAGTCCAGATAAGAGGCCGAGTCAAGAGATTTGCAGATGCAATGAAGGAATGAGAAAAGAAAATGATGAAATAAAAGTACAAAACAAAGTAAAATGAGCAAAAGAAATGAAAATAAATAACATAAAGCCACAATATAAGCTCATGTGGAAGAAGAATAAATAATGAACATAATAAACAAAATAAGCAAAGGTAAAAGGAAAACGAAGAAAAATGGATGTTCGAATGGGCAGAGAATCTTCTCCATTGGTCTTTATCTTCTTCGTTCTTCTTCGTATTTCGCCTGTTCATCTCCCACGATGACGGCGGGGAGCCAATCTTGCAAGAACTGAAAAGGTACGCTAACTAAGCTAACTTTCATACTTGAATACTGTTACTTATAAGTAGATCGGGTTGTGAAAGATCTATTACTTTATTGGATAATGAATCGGTAGGTATGAGAGGCTTAATGTCAGATTCACAAGGACAAATGATTGATTTACCGATTCAAAGTAATTTACGTGAAGGACTTGGGGCCGGTGTCATGCTTTCTGAAGATGAGCTTGGATGGGTTGGCGTCCTGGCGAGAAACAAGTAGTTGCAAAAGAACGACAACAAGAAGAGAAAAGAAATAACCAAAGGAAAGAAAAACGAAAAAAAGGAAGTCCAATACAAATAGGCCACGTGTTTGTGTGACCTGCTAAATAGGTTTCTCCATGTCACCGGGTTGTTTAGAGAAGAGGTGCTCGCGCTAGGGGCTGTCCGCACTTGCCTACGCGTGGTGAATCAATTTTTGTTGGCCACCGCTTAAACGCCCTTTCCGCACTCTTGATTGCTGAAAGAAAACTGCCGGTCCAAGTGGAAGAGGTCACCGCCGGAGAAAAACTGGTCTTCAAAACCCTAGAATACTAGGGGTGTCGTCCGCTCATATGAATTGGTTTAGAATGAAAACCAGAGAAGACGGTTCTTATAAATTGAAATAAAGATTGTTTATAAAAATGAAACTAGTGACTATACTAGTAAAGGAACCATAATAACTTATGTTCAATTTTTATGCTTAAGTGACTATAACACCATATTGCAGTAAGTATTAGTCATATTTGTGTAAATAAGTTTTATGTTAGTAATATTTTTGAAAACCCCCATTATAAATTAGATTAATTTAGAATTATCAATGTTTGGGATTAATATTGGATTAACGCTAATAGTTTGGATTATTCTTATATAGCCCTTTTAACAATTTTTCATATGGTGACAATATTGTATATGGAAGAAAAAATAGCGAAAAGTATATTTTTAGAAAATAAATCAATTTTTATGTATAAAATTGATGTCTTTGGAAATATCATAAAATTATTAAATTATTTTGATATGTTATTTATAAAAATTAGACCCTAACAATGACATAAACGTTGTTATTTATACTGTCATGGGATAAGTGGTAGTGGTGATGTGGAGGATCATGAGTGGCTAGCCTTTCAACCACCAAATCTTGCATATCTGATACATTTAATGTGTTTCCAGTCAATATTTCTACTTTCCCGCCAATGGTGTTGGATGCTCCAATTGAGGCCCTCATGATCTTCGACCTAGACCAAATAAGGTCATGGTGTCACACGGCGAATGCTGAGCGCTCCTGTTGAGACTTCCGTTGTTACTTGGCCTAAACGAGTCAAGGCCACGGTGACGCACGAGATTCTAGCAATGTCGAGTGTCGCATGGGCCTTATGGGTATTGGGTTGATCCTGTAGTGGGCCCATTTCTCCAACAGGCCCATTTATTAAACATATAGTTATTGAGTTTTTGGAGAATTCATTTTTCCGTGTTTTACAAATTGAATACACAGTATTACAATGTGTCCTGTATTTGTTTCGCGCTCGGGTATTCAATTAGGGAATTTTTTATGAAAATTCTCTTTGTACATGTTTTTACTGTTTACACTCGTCTGTGAAGGCAAACTTTGGCTATGAAAACACTGTGCACAGACAAAACAGGCTCTATCTGTGAACAGTGTTTTTCGCAAACAAAAAATTGCTTACACGGACGCATGTAAAAATGTGTAAACATTAAAAGATGATACAAGAAGAATGGTTGTTTTTTAAACACATTTTTCTCGAGATCTATGCAACGATGTGTCACTTTTAAATTTTGAAAGAATAACACATTTTATGACACCGCAACCGCGGGCAGGGCGTGACACTTTTTGTTGCAGTTGTAGCAAGAACAACAAAAAGCATGTTTTTAACTCCAAAAGTTATAAAAGTACGTAATCACTTGTTAAGCTTTGTTCGTGAAAATGAAACAATCAAATTCATTATGTATCAACAAGAACGAAATTGGACGTGATTATAGATGCAATGGGGCCACACTGCAGAATGAACTTCAAGGAATATTTGGGAGTAGAGAGAATGTCAAGGAAAATTAACGATTGTTGGAAACTACATATTTTATATATTACTAGTTGAAATTTAGTTATTTAGTATATATTGTTTATATCTAGGCTTGGACTCGGTTCGGGTCACCCGGCCCAGGAATCGGACCGGCCCGCTACTGTGCGGGACCGGACCGGTCCAGTTCTTCGGGCCCAAAACCGGTCTAAGGCCCGGTTATTTATCTAAAGCGGGACGGGCTCGGGTGGGTAAAAAGGAGGCCCGGACCGGACCCGGTGACTACCCGGGCCGGTCCCGGGCCCACCTATCCACAACCGTCGGGCCGGATCCGGCCCGGCCCGGCCCGAGTCCGAGTCCACCTCTATTTATATCCAATCGAGTGCTATGCAATCTAAACATATACTCTGAATATACACAAATTTAAAAACGTCATATTTAATTTTACTTGCATTATTTGTGCTAAATCCAAGCATAAAAATGATACTCCGTACATTTATAAAATCATTATCATCGACGTGTATTGCTCTTTGTATGCTTCATAATGTTCATATACTTCATGCATGGGCTCAAGTCCTTTTATATGCAAAAACAACTCAGGGAAGTGATTCAAAAATTAGTGGATGATAAGGTTACTTTTTTATTTTAGCCTTGAGAACATATAAGAAATAATGCTTGATTACTTGATTTGGTGAAAACGTTGCCGTTATGGAATTATTATGAAACTGGGAAATAATTATTTGTTGTAGATTAGAATGTGGCCGTTTGGTAATGCAGCAATGCTCAATTCCTTTGAGTAAGTGCATATTAATTTCTAAGGAATTAGGAAAGATCTCAGATCTGTTGAGCATGGGAAAAAAATCTTATGTTGCAGAGAAAATAGGACCCTATACAAGGGTAAAGCTACTATTAGGTGATAGAATATAATGTCTATATTATTATTCATGTATTATCCAATTATATTCTTTGTATAATTATCCTTTACGTAGCTTATTTGTATTAGGATATTATCCTTGTATATCAAACCTTATCACTTGTAACAACCTGGAGCTTCTCAAGCTATAATACTACGTATATATATCTAGCTACATCAATATGATGAGCTATGTTTTTTTGCCATTTATTATCTTTCATGGTATCAGACGCCTCAATCTTTTGATTGATCTCCGATCCATTTACGATGCCATCATCTACTACCTCTGCCTCACACCTCATACCCACCCAACATGATCTTTCCCAGCTCATATCTCTCAATGCTTCTTCCCAAATTCCAATCAAATTATCTAAAGATGGCAGCAACTATTCATCTTGGAAATCACAACTCACTAACCTATTATTTGGTTATGATCTCCTGGGATACATCGATGGCTCCACCCCCTGCCCGACTTCCTGCGATGCCAATCGCTCCTTGTGGTTACGTCAAGATCAACTAGTTTTACTGGCTATTCAGTCCACAGTGGCTGTCACTATTAGCCCTATCATCAATTCCTGCACCTCTTCTTCCTCGGCATGGACAAAGCTTGAGACCAGCTTTGCTAACAGCTCCACAACTCGAATGCTCTCTTTGCTCTCCTCTTTGATGACCACAAAAAAGGCTGGCAAATCCGTTGCTGATTATATGGCCACCATGCGCACTTTCATCGACGATCTCGCCACCATAGGTCACCCTCAAAGCACTGGTCAGATTGCTTCCTATATTCTCACTGGATTAGGCGGCGAATACAAAGACCTGGTTGGCGCACTCCGTGTCCAACCTACTCCTCCTTCGTTTGAGCAATTACGTGACTTTCTTATTGAAGCTGAAATTCTTGCCGGAGATCAGCCCACTAGCTTTGATGTCCCTATTACGGCGCAATACACTCAACGACGTGGTTCATCTGCTAAACCACGAGGTCGTGGTCGTGGTCGATCTCCGTATTCTGCATCCATACCTCATTCCCAGGGATTTGGTTCTCCCGCTGCTACTTGTCAATTGTGTGACAAACCAGGCCATACCGCTAAGACATGCTACAGTCGTTTCCCCCCTGCTGCTAATGTTGCCTCCAGTACTACTACTAGTTCTTCCCCTTCCAATTGGCTCCTGGATACTAGTGCTACTCACCATATCACTTCGGACCTCAACAACCTTCAAGTTCACTCTGACTACAGTGGCCCTGACTCAGTAATGCTTGGTAATGGTAAAAGTCTCTCTATATCTCATACAGGTTCCTCGGTTATTTCTTCTCCCCACTCTCATTTTAAACTTAATAACATTTTGTGTGCTCCACATATTCATACTAATCTCATCTCCGTCAATCAGTTTTGTAAACAAAACCGTACCTCTATTGAATTCTCACCCGACTCTTTTATTGTGAAGGATCTACTCACGGGGGAATCCTTGGCCCGCGGCCGGAGTGAAAACAATCTCTATGTTTGGCCTCGTTCCACTCGTCCTCAAGTCAATCTCACAGTCTCTCAATTATGGCATTACCGCCTCGGTCATCCATCTGCTCAAGTCCATCGTCAATTATGTCCCCAAAATAAACCTGTTGACTCATGTGATTCATGTATTCAAGCAAAAATTCATAAATTACCTTTCTCTTCTTCCTCAATAAAATGTACCCGTCCATTTCAGTATTTATATACCGATGTATGGGGTCCATCCCCGGTTACCTCAATTAATAATGAACGATATTATGTTCTATTTATTGATTACTATTCCAAATACACTTGGTTATTTCCGCTCAAATATAAATCAGATGTTTATTCGGTCTTTGATAAATTTCGTGCTCTCATTGAAAATTATTTTAGCACAAAAATTCAAACTCTTTATAGTGATGGTGGCGGTGAATTTCAAGCTCTCACACCTCTACTCTCCAAACATGGAATTGAGCATCTCAAATCTCCCCCATATACACCTGAACATGTCGGTTCTGCTGAACGTAAACACCGTCATGTTACTGAAACAGCTCTTACCCTCTTATTTTATGCCGGGGTCCCACTCAAATTTTGGACCTATGCATTTCAACATGCATCATATCTCATAAATCGTCTCCCAACTCCACTCTTATCTCACCAAAGTCCATTTTCCAAATTATTCGGAGACACTCCTAATTATCGGACTCTTCGTATTTTTGGATGTCTTTGTTATCCTTGGCTCCGTCCATATAGTAATCATAAATTACAACCTCGTTCTCGTCCTTGTTTATATCTCGGTTTCTCCCCCACACATCATGCAAATTACTGTCTTGATTTATCAACAAATCGTATGTATATTTCTAGGCATGTAATTTTTCATGAACATATTTTACCCTGTAAATCAGCTAATACTCCTCTCACCGTTCCTCCACATATACTTGAACAATTCTATCCATCTCTCACCCCCCAAACGGCCACCACTAATTCCTCCAGTAAATCTGCGCCACATTTACCTAGTCAACACTTATCTCCTCACCTTGTCATCCCTTATCCTTCCACTACTGATCCACCTTCCCCCACAAATTCTATCTCTCCACCTCACCTAAATAATACCCCACCAACCTCTCCACTCAATAATACTCCACCAACATCTCCACTTAATAACAATATCCCATCTACGTGCATTAATTCTAATGCACCCCCAAGTCAACCCATATCCTCACCCAACATCCCACCTCCCACTCATTCCACCCAACATCCATCTACGTGCATGAATTCTCATGCATCAAGTAAGCCTCTTCTCTCTCCCCGTATCACCCGTTCTAAAAACAACATTTTCAAGCCTAATCCAAAATATGCCTTGCATACTACACTTCAAACCCCTGCACCAGTTGCTCCCACAACCTTCAAACAAGCAAATCTCCTTCCTCATTGGCGCACTGCTATGCAGGAAGAAATCACTGCTCTTCATAAAAATCAAACATGGTCTCTTATACCTCCTGATTCCACACAAAATGTTATTGGTTGTAAATGGGTTTTTCGGGTTAAGCAAAATCCTGATGGTTCTGTTGCACGATATAAAGCAAGGCTTGTTGCCAAAGGTTTTCACCAACGCCCTGGCGCTGATTTTACTGATACTTTTAGCCCGGTTGTTAAGCCGGCTACCGTCCGAATTGTTCTCACTTTAGCGGTTACTCATCACTGGCCAATTAGACAATTGGATGTTAATAATGCTTTTTTACAGGGCACCTTATCTGATAAAGTTTTCATGCAGCAACCTTCCGGTTTTGTTGATCCAAATCATCCTAGCCATGTTTGCCTCCTCCACAAAGCTCTCTATGGTCTGCGTCAAGCACCCCGGGCATGGTACTGTGAACTTCGCACCTATCTCCTCGCCTCTGGTTTTACTAATAGCAAAAGTGATGTCTCCCTCTTCATCCATCATACATCGGGCTGTCTTCTTTTCCTCTTGGTTTACGTGGATGACATCATCATCACGGGTAACTCTGAATCTACTGTTCTATCATTTATTACCCGGTTGGCCAGTCGGTTCTCTCTCAAAGATTTGGGCTCCTTATCATATTTTCTTGGTTTGGAAGCCTTACGCTCATCATCAGGACTTTTTCTCAGTCAACACAAGTATACCCGTGACTTACTTAGTCGTACCAACATGCAAGATGCCAGTTCTGTACCTACACCTATCTCCCTTAATGACCATCTATCATTGAAAGATGGTGCTGCCCCTTACGATCCCAAAGAGTACCGTAGTGTTTTAGGTGCTCTTCAGTACTTGGCCTTCACCCGTCCAGATATCAGTTTTGTAGTCAACAAATTAGCCCAGTTTATGCATTGTCCCTCTACGCTCCATTGGCAGGCTGTTAAACGTGTCCTTAGATATCTCAAAGGCACAACTCATTTTGGTATTTATATATCTACTCATACTCCTCTCTCTTTGCATGCATTTGCTGATGCTGACTGGGCCGGTGATACTGATACACGTCACTCTACTTCTGCTTATGTCATCTTCATTGGTCGTAATCCCATTAGCTGGAGCTCAAAAAAGCAAACTACCGTTGCTCGTTCATCTACTGAAGCTGAATACCGGGCCATTGCCGGTGCCACAGCCGAACTCACTTGGATACGTAATCTTCTTAAAGAATTGCACATTTCTCCTCCCCGTGCTCCTACTGTTTATTGTGACAACCTAAGTGCTACCTATGTGTGTGCCAATCCAGTATTTCACTCACGTATGAAGCATGTTGCTATTGATTTTCATTTTGTCCGTGAACAAGTTGCTAATGGTTCTCTTCGAGTTGTTCATGTTCCCACTCACGACCAACTTGCTGATTCCCTCACAAAACCTCTTCATCGGAAGTTGTTTCTCTCTCATCGATCCAAGCTTGGCATCCTCCCCGGATCCCTTTGCTTGCGGGGGCATGATAGAATATAATGTCTATATTATTATTCATGTATTATCCAATTATATTCTTTGTATAATTATCCTTTACGTAGCTTATTTGTATTAGGATATTATCCTTGTATATCAAACCTTATCACTTGTAACAACCTGGAGCTTCTCAAGCTCTAATACTACGTATATATATCTAGCTACATCAATATGATGAGCTATGCTTTTTTGCCATTTATTATCTTTCAGTAAGTGCATATTAATTTCTAAGGAATTAGGAAAGATCTCAGATCTGTTGAGCATGGAAAAAAAATCTTATGTTGCAGAGAAAATAGGACCCTATACAAGGGTAAAGCTACTATTAGGCAGTAGCAGAATCTATAACTCTGCTTTTGTGGATAATTGTGGAATCTACAAATATTAATATCTAAAAGCAAAATGTTTTGGGCTCATTGTTTTGCCGCTCAAAAACATCAACATCAATATCCGTATTCATATTACGTATGAATACTGTCTCCACTTGAAAAAATACGAAGTAACAAATATCTACATATCTTTTAATATCTAAATGACAAATGAATGATATTGCTATGTCCATAATGTTGTCAAATTTGTTCCATAGTGGGTTGCACAGTGTCTCCACAGTAGGCTCATTTAATTTATGCGTGGAACTTTTAAATTGCATTCCCAAGTTGCATTTGATTTTTAGCTTTGCCCATGCTTGTAAGTTGGACTGCATACTTCTTGATTAGTCACTTCGGCTGACACACGTGTTCTCAACCTACACGCCAAGTCCATTTACTCTTTTAGTTGGTAACAGGGGTTAAGAGATAAAAATTGGCTATAAATATAATATTCTAAGAGGGTGGTTCACTCACACTAAGCCCCTTGCAAGCAATTCCTTACTCAAGTTCTATATTTCATCAACATGATTTGAAGCCACGTCTTCCAAGGTGTACCATATTATAAGCTTTAATTTCCATTTTGTTTCAATATAAATTTGTTTGTTCTGTTTTGTTTTGTTTCAAATTTAGCTAATGGATAACATGTTCTAAAACTGTGAACAAGTCAATTTTTATTGTAGAATGCAACATATGAGAAGAATCACTCCTTTTAAAAAAAAATTACCCAAATTCACAAGGCTTATATTTTTGCAGAGCTGCTTGCACGGCCTATGTGCTTTAAGAGCATAGGCACACAGAAGATGACCTTAACAACACACATACCATTGCAACAACTCCTGGATTGTAATTTCTAATTCTCCATGTTGATTTTTAGTGACTTGGCAGTTTGTTATGTATGGGATTGAAGAACATTATCCCAGTTTTATGTAAAAGATTGTATATATATGGGTACATATAATACAATATATAAATAATTGTACACTTATATAAATAATCACCGAAGTACAAAAAATAAATAATTGTAAACATGTTGATGCACACTTATCTAGATTGTTGACTCTTCATATTATGTGGCTTTAAAGTTTATAAACGTATATGCTGAATGTAATATCTTTGTAAACGGTGGGATAGATTAAAGGTAATAGTTTGATCTAGAGGTGGGGAGATAAGGTTAAAGCATGTTGATATTTAGAGATTAAAGTGTCATAGTATAGATGAGTTGGTCAGAATAACTCATGTTTATGTTTTCCCAACAGGTCTAGATATTTAAGTCTAAGTAAGTTGGTGGGTATCTTTAATGTGGTGCACATCTCGAGTATGTGCGCGAGGAGTATTAATTATGCCACATGAGTATCTTTACACGCAGGTGTGGTGTTTTAATATTAATAGATATTCTGGAATTCTAATTCTTCATTTTAAAAAATTAGGTTTTTCATTTGTATTTTATATCACATAAAAACATTATGACTTTTTAATTGTGAATTTTTTGAAAAAATGTGAAATTTTTCCATATATAATGTGACAATTTTGAATCTTCCAAAAAAATTGTAAACAAATTGAAAACAAACAAAAAGAATAGGAGAATGACCGGTTCTGGGTTTTGGCTTTTATGTTCACTTTAAAGAAAGAAATAAAATCAATTTCACCAAAAGAATATTACAAGGAATATGTATAAGCATCAACGAAAAATAAGAAAAATCTAATATAATGAAGATTACCTAGAGATCTGGCACATCTAACGTTGTGAATCATGGGTTGTATATAGAATTACTTCATCAAAGATATGATACCACGTAGGAGAGAGTTTTGTTCTTACCGTTTGTCAAAATTACTTCATAAAAGTCTTTAGCACTGATTGTCAATCTATCTATATGCATTTAGCACCCCAAAAACTAAAATTCGAGAAAAATGCACGCAAAACAGAACCTTAAATTTTCAGTAGTTGCTCTCGTGCGTATTTTTCACATAAAAATGGAAAAAATTTATAGGGAGTAAAAAAAACTCCTCGCATAGATTGTTATTTGACAATCAGATCTTTTATTTTAAAATTTTAAAAATTGAAGTTAATTTTTGTTGTTAAATGCTATAGTAGATCTACTATAAAAATGTTATGGGAGTGACCGTGTCTTATTAAACTTTTAGATAATATTTTGTGAAACATTATGCTCTTAAGTATATGAGATCATAACATGTATAATGACATATAATTTAAAAAAAAAAAAACATAAAGTATTATGGTAGGATTAATTTCCAATTCATATAAATATATAATGACCAACAAAGAATGAAAATGTAATGAGCCTTTATATTTCGGATTAATTTCCGATTCATATACACATATCTGCCAGATCTGTGGGTTGTGTGTAGTAGAGGGATTGTGTTATTACCGTTTTTAGAGCAACGAAGGCGGACACGGTGGATTCATGACTGGCGGCTGAATAAGTTGGCGAAAAATCAGTAGGGAAAGAGCTGAATATGCTTGGCTGCCTTTAGAACGACCGGCATTTGAATATGTGTTTTGGGTGAAATATTTGTGTAGTTTGTTGAAGAGCCATGTTGACCGATTGGTTTGCTGGAAAGCAGTCAAGGGGTTTTCCTTCTGGAAAGGACTTCTATGTTTTAATTATACATGATGTATTTTATGGGCATGACATAGTCACAAATAATGGGCTATTTTATTCCCGGCCCGTTTAAATGGAAGGGGCTTAGATTTTTGTTAGGATATATCGACCACTCACAAATGGGTTAACTATATTTGGTTTAAATAAAAACTATTCCATAATGATTTATAGTTAGAAACTACGGAGTATTACATATTTATAAATAAAATAAAGATTGTTTACAGAAATATGACTAATAATTAGAGTAATAATGGAATCATAGTAACTTATGTTCAATTTTTAAACTTAAGTTACCACACTACATTGTATTAATTATTAGTCATATTTTTGTAAATAAGTTTTATTTTTGTAATATTTTTGAAAAACCCTTTATAATTATAGTTAAGGTAATCAACTTCAAATAATACAACGTATTAAAGTTCACCTAAATACCAATAGCAGTACGTATTAGTGAAATATGTTAATTAAAAAAACCAACTATTTAAATACTCCATATATAAGAGAAGTCATATATAGTCATTTTTTTACTGTACATATGATTATGGTGTCACCAAATTCAAAATTGGTGGGAAAACTGGTTGATAAGTCTGATAAGGCGGAAAATTGTCACCAAACAGGCTCTTATTCTAATGAAATTTATAAAGCTATGATTAAAAATATTGTATGAGCTAAGTCTGCTGAATAATAGAAAACTATATTACTACTGTCGTCCCCCTAAGTTTCAGACAAAGGGCTGTAGTATGGTTTTTAAGAAAAAGTAGAATTGTGATTATAAGACTAACGTGAGAATTCCAAAGTTGCATGTTTGATAAAAATGTTGATTATAAGACTAATAAGTCGATAATATTGAGTCACCAAACGAGCTTTAAATTTCTCACATAAAAGGGTACAATGACCATTTTTGGAAAAAATTACTGATATTGTAGACAATGTTTGTACAGTAGATTCGACTGTCGATCTCATGTCATTATTGCACACCTTCGAGTTTTTTTATTAGTATAACGACATATGGCATGTCAAATCATAAGTTCGCTTTGAAAGTGGTAAATTGTTCTACACCGCAGATACGTTAAAATACTTCAGCACCGACTCATGGTTAAGGGGGTGTGGGGGGCTGGTTGCTCATAATAATACGGAGTAAGTAATAACAGTATAGGACCATTTGTGTATGCATGTCGTTGAATTACAATAATGCCGCGTATAACATATATATGCATACAAATATAGTGACATTAACAACTTTTACAACTCTCTGGATTTTTTTAGATTCTTTGGGAAAAAAATCCAGAAAAATTAGTTCAAAATGGTTCAAAATAAGATAATTAATGTCTATTTTTAAAAGGTTAAATATGGTCAATGAAAAAAGGTTAAATATGGATGTCATTTCCATGTGGATATTTTATCAAAATTATCTGGAACCGTTGCACATCTGCGTCTATCGAACAACCATTATGATTCCCCAAAAAGCTGAAACATTCACCGCATCGATAGTATTAATCTAAAAATATTTCATTATGATTTTACGTAAACCGAAGTACAAATAATTTTGATAGACGCATATACATGACTCTAATCAATAGACTTTTTGTGTGTTATTAAATTTTCAAATAAAAACTTTTTTGAAGATGTAATGTTTTGTGTAGATAAAATATAATCGAATATAAAGTTCATTGATAGAAAATTTTAAAAAAATTGAAACGGCTGAAGAAAAAACGTAATCAACAATATTGACGGATCTACCTGGTCTGTAGGCTCACTGCGATGGGTGATTTCGCTACGATATAGTGGGGGTTGTGATCTTATCGTTGTCATGTAAATCGATCTATACGACATTAGCGGACGACCTATTGCAGACCATCAGTGTCTTCATCGCTGGAGGTTCCAGGTTGTGGCGAACCATTGACGGACAATGAGTAGAGAAATCTCGGTGCATCACTTGGTTTCGCCGACTTTAAGTTAGGGAATTTTGGTTTTCTTTGTAATGGATTGGAGCGAATGTCTTAGTCAGCCACAAGAATGAAGGGTTTGATTCTCCTGCGGAATGGACTAATGAAGAGCCGAGTGGTGAGTGATGCATTTTATTAGACTTCAAACTTTCTAACAGCACTACACTAATAATGAAAAGCATGTTAAAATGCAAAACCCTAGAACTTGGTTAGGCAATGGCCCATGCTCAAAAGTTGCCAAATATGGTTACACATTTCCACATATTTGCACCATCTGATTTGCCTGTGTACCCAGGCAATTCGTTAAAACAATACAATTCGTATAACCTTATTACTTATTTACCAAAATAATTTACCTTCAATAAAATTACTTTTGAAAATGAAAAATTCTTTGGCAAAATCATTTGTGTATCGTGTGGGTAAATAACTACTAGAAGAAAGAATTTTAAAAGGGGTTAGTGTGAAAGAGAAAGTGCCAATTCTCAAACATTCATTAACAATTTCAAATGTTAGCTTATCATTCCAATTTTGGACACGATAATACCCAAACATGACTAAATAAAAATTAAAGACAATCATTGTCGCGTCTTTGTTTGTTATTGAAAAAACATGTTTTTAGTTATGATTAACTTTATGCAAATGTGTTTAAAGTAACAACCAAGCATACAAAATATATATTGCACACGATGACATAAAAACGAACAGTGATATCAAGAATTTGTATATAAAAAAATGTTTCATAATGTTTTTGAATGGAATATAATGAGGTAGTTTAAATTCAGCATACCATCCTCAACACACTGCTTTTTGGAACGTTTTATTTGGTAAATGATTAAGATTCAGCTAAAAAGCCAATAACCAAACGGTTTTCAAATTATTTTTATATTTCATATTACTGATTATTTTGTGGGGCTATAAAAAATTGTGTACTACTCCACAATCAATGGAAAATGGTACTAAGTACTATCATTGTCCCGTTGAAAGTTTCATATGGCAAAATGACACGGTTATGAAAACAATAATTGAATAAGGTAGTTCAAGTTTATATCAAACAATAATTTTAAAGGGTATATATTATAATATATATTATAATGAGATTAGTGTTGATAACCGTGATATTATAAATCTGTTATTTTTAATATTTAGTTATTAATGTCATTTAAGATTGTTAATTGTTTTTTAAAATGAAAACGAGAACCTTTTTGAACCTTTTTGAAGAACGTCCTAAACAAGAATCTGAAAACCTTTCTATGTAAGGGAGGGAATATATTTCATTATGTCAAAGTATTATTATATATAATCCTAAACTATTCAATTGAAATTACAAATTCGATATTTATTTATTATTTGACTAAAATTTTATAGATAAAATTTCACCAACGGTGCAGGTGTTCTACTAGTTGATTTTAAAAGAAGCTTCCTTTCTAGAGGGAAATGGAAGCCAGAATCGCCATGGTTGCAACAACCTGTTCCACTTCCAGGTTGCCTTGCCAAGATACGGATCAAGTTCTCCAAACTCCTCAATTTAGCCAGCCAAGAAAGAGGAAACACAGAAAACCACATCACCACGGATTCACAGCTGCTTGATTCACAAGTGATGATGATACTACGTGTTACAAAGTGATGGTGATGGTGATGATGATGACTTTCATCAGTTTCAAGAAGGTGAGTTTTGAAGTTAAGAATGTTTACACTTGCACTCATTTGATTCCGAGACCAGGCCACACTTTAACACTTCACAGACCAAACCAAACTTAGATAGTCATAAATTACATACACCAGACATCTCTCAACAAACCAAACCAATTCAAACTTCAAACTAGATTTACATAGGCCAGACAAGAAAATTCTAGTTAAGTAAAAACATCCGCCTACGATTGCTGAGATGAAAGGGCAGATCTAGGTATGGACTTGGTTCGGGCCGGGCCTCGGTCCGGTTTCGACCAGGCTTTTTTTAGAATGAGGCCCGGAAACCAGCCCGGGTAGCTCCGGGCCCGGGTCGGGCCGGTTCACCCGGCGGTTACCGGGCCGGGTACCCTTTTAAAAAATGTGATAATAAAAAATGGACTGAATTGGGCCCGAATCGGCCAGGCCGGTTCGTGATTTGGGAGGCCCGGGAACCACCCCTCTACAGTGTCAGGCCAGGTGGCCCTAACCAGTCACAGAATCGGGGACCGGGCCAATCCGGGCCATAACAGTGCCAGTTCAGGCCGGTTACGGTGCAGATAACCCGGCCCGAGTCCATCCCGAGGCGGATCGGTGAGGGGATTGGAGACATCATGTGCAGATGCAGGTTGGAGGGAGGCAACTGCACTTTCAAAAGTTTCAAGTAACTCCCCTACCTCTCCTGTCTCACTTCTACTTGGGCTACAATTTTCCTCCCTGGCTTGCCTCTGACCAACTCTGAACACTGGAGAAATCATGTGCAGGTTGGAGGGGGGCAACTGCACTTTCAAGAAACTCCTCTCTCTCCTGCCTCACTTCTTCTTGGGCTACAATTTTCCTTCCTGGCTTGCCTCTGACCAATTATGAACACTGAAGGTCTTACATGTGCACTCTGGAGTCCGGATTTAGGTTGTATACCATTCAAAATTTTATAAAAGCTACTTTAATCATGTCTTTTGGTACACAATCTTTTTCAAAATAATTTTTCAAAATAAAAGCTTCTTTTACCATTCAAAACTTTTTTTCAAAATACAAGAAATTTTTTAAAAAGTTACATTGAATAGCATTTAAGAGAAAGTATGTATGTTTTATCATTAATTAATCATAACAGGTTGTTATACCAAACAGAATTAAATCAAACAACAAGAACCTTTTTCTTTTAAGAGCAAATAAAAATCAAGATGTATAATAGAAACAAAACCTCAAAATGACCTCTGGAGCCACCTCTTTTCTTATTACCTTTCATTTCATCCATTGTTTATGACATTCCTTTAAGATCCTGTTTGGGAGAGGTAACTCTTTTGGAAAGGCTCAGATTCTGAGTTTTCAGCAGCCAGTGTGAAAAGCCCAAACTGCCATGGCTGCAAAAACCGGGCCATTCTGGATTGATTGCCCTGCCAAGATACAGATTGAGCTGTCCAAATGCACCAACATCAGTAGCCAGGAATCATCACAGACTCCTCATACACTCAAGGGTGGTTGGTTACATATATTATTGAGAAGTAGCAGATGAAGGGACCAAACACTCTATCAGAAACCCAAAACTTGCCTAAGTGCTACTATATTCACTACAAAATAGTCAACACAGTAAGTTGCTTACTTTTGAAAATCTACTTTTACTTTCCAAAACTGACTATCAAGTGCAGCCAGTATTGCCTAATAATTTATCTACAAAGAAAAAGAGAAATGGTGATTGAGGAATGAGTACACAGTTAGCAGTGTCGAAAATTAGAAAAGTTATCATTATAATGAGACAACTGTAGAGGAGAACATGCAAATATATTGAACAGGGAGCACAATCTTTTAAAATTTAATTTGATTAAATTACATAGCACTCATATGACATTAAAAATAAATTAGGTACTCTTACCTTTTCTAATTCTCTCATTTTAGCCTTGAATAATTATTCAATAAAAAGCAGTAATACAACATAAAACAATAACAATTTATGCTTGTATTTTACTCTGTAATATTATAATAATAACTAATATTATCTTTTCAAAAATATTTTTAATAACTAAACCACTGTATAACACTTGCAAATCCTAGGAAATATATGTATGTTATGGGCATAAAAGTTAAGAGTAGAATGATATTGAATGAAAAGAAATACACAATGGAAACAAGCTCACCAAAATATGAAATGGGATGTTTTCGAGGGGTTGCTTCTTCCTGCTACTCATCAATGAATCCATTTTCCAAAAGAATAACCAACAGCCCTCTAGAATACTGTTTAGCCAGCTAAAAAATATGTCAAACTGTCAAAGTAATCTTCCTAAGAATCAAGCCCAGCTCTAGTTTATTCGACAATCACTGCACTGTCAAATATTCTCACACAATAATAAGAGCCCATTTGGTAACCCATTTTTCAATATGTCAACCATTTAACCTTCTCAATGAATCTTTTAGCAAACACTTATCTTCTAATTTCACATGCTGAATTGTGAAATAGTAATCAAAATAAGTATTGTTTGAGGTACTTTAGTGATTGAATTTGGTGAAATGGGTTATCAATGATTTTTTCTAAAAATAATAATAAAAAAATCACCTCTGGAGCGATACTTGTTTCAAATATTAAAAAAAATGTGTTCTACATTTGGGGCAAGGCAAACTCAAATCCTTTCTATAATTCATCATCATCTCATCATCCTCAACGGTTGTTGAGCTTCTTATTGATCACAACTTCCGGGGATAATCATTGGCTTAAAAAACAATAGAGGGAGCAACCACCCATAAAACTCATTTACCTCTCTGGGTCCAAATAAAGCCTCATAATCCATGACATCAAACCAATCTGATTGTAGATTTTGGTATGGAAAGACATTCTTAAGTGGATGAATGAATGAACGACTAAATAGCAAGTATTCAACTTGTAAGAATTTGGTAAAGATACAATCACACCACACTTGGGTTTTCAGGATAGAGGCTCATAAAGACGATTTATTACTCCCTTTCTCCCGCTAAGATTGTCTCATCTTTCCATTTCAGTGCATCCCACAACGATTGTAGTCATTGTACATACCGAATTTGGTAATGTGTATGATTTTAAATCATTCATACTTTATTCTCACCAATCAATTCAATATCAACCACATAAACTCACATTTTTGGCAACCACACTACCTCCTCTTGTACCCACGTAATGGGGATAGAGGTAGTATTAGCTGAGGGAATTCGTAACGCCGCCATGGCTGCAAACACCAATGCTCATGAGATTGAGTGTTGCCTTGCCAAGATACAGCTCAGATGTCATTCATGCCCAACATGGACTTCAATGATCCAGAGATTCTGAAATGAATGTAGTATGTGGAAAAGAAAGTGATGCCTCAGAAATAGCCTGATATAAAATTAAGTCCGAACTATGCACTTAGCGGTTATAGATATATGAAGAGTATAAGGTAGCATAAAAAATGAAATATCCCCCTCCTTCATACATGTCACCTTGTATATGATAATTCATTAAGAGCCTGTTTTGAAGAGGCTTTCTACCCCAACATGGACTTCAATAATCTAGAGATTCTCAAGTGTATGTAGTGTAGAAAAGAAAGTGATGCCTCTGAAATTGCCTAATATAAAATTATAAGTCTAAACTATACATTTAAGGGTTATGAATTTATGAAGAGCATAAGCTTTAACTCAAATGAAATATATTTCCACTTGCTAAATATCAGATAAGTATTATAAAAATTATTAGTACTATTCTCTAAAGAGCATACAATTATACAAATATATAGCAACTTGTCTGGCACATTATGCAAGTATAATACACGGAGGCCACATAGCAGCATGAACTTCAGGAATATTTGAGAGAGGATGTGAAGGAAATAAAACATTGTTTGGAACTCTATTTTAAAAATTATTAGTTAAAATTTATTATACGTTGTACTGTTTATCTCCCCTATCATATCAGTGCTGAGTGATCTAAACACACAAACATAAATTCATATTTCATTTCCCATGCGGTCTCAGTGCTAAATCCACACATAAAAAATAATTTCCATACATATACCAGACTGGACAGTTCAAACAAATTTTAACAAAGTAAACATAAAAATTTTCAGTCCAAATAAAAACAGCCTAGCTCCATTCTTTAAAGAGCTTAACTCCATTTTTGGAACAGCCCAACTTCATTTTATTTATAAAGGAACTCAGTGAAGTGGTTCGAGAATTAATGGATGAAAAGTTAGCTTTTTTATCTTGGCCAAATCTTACGCATATATAGGAAATACATTACTCAATAACATGCAGCATGCTCTACTGAAAAGGTTGTCGTGACAGAATAATTGTGAAACCGGGAAATGATAATTTGTTGAAGATAATGGAGTGGTCGTACTCTAAAGAAAAATAAACGTGCGTAAGCTTGAAAAAAAACCGGACAATATACAGAAACGATAAATACAAAACTGCAGATCGATTTCAAAGGAATCAGGGGAGCTCACAGATGATCAGATCTGTTGAAATTGAAAGAAAAACATATATTGCAGAGAAAAGAAGAGCCTATGCAAGGGTAAAACTACTATTCCATTTTAGAGGCTCAGATCTGTGTTTCTAGAGGGAAATTGGAGCCGAAACCGCCATGGCTGCAACAACCGGTTCCATTTCCGGGTTGCCCCGCCAAGATACGGATCTGGTTCTCCAAACGCCTCAAATTAGACAGCCCAGGAAGAGGAAACACAGAAAACCACATCATCACAGCCGCTAGATTCACAGTTCTAACAACATAAGCAGGACGAAGAGCGCAGATCTTAACATACTATATAATACGGAGTAATAATAATAATAATAATAACAACAACAACATTCCTCGGTTTCAACAGAGGGAGTGTTGAAGTTAACTGCATTCGTTTGCGACTGAGATAGATGAAAGGGCGGTTCGGCTACGGGAATGGAGAAATCATGTGCAGGTTGGAGGGAGGCAACTGCCCTTTCAACAAACTCCCATCCCTCTCCTGCCTCACTTCTTCCTGGGTTAGTCCTTTGTGGCTTGCCTATGACCTATATAAACACTTGCAGCCTTACGTGTGCATTCGGGATTTAGGTTATGTTTGGCTCAAAACATATTTGGACAGATATTTCTCGAATTTTTAATACGAAGTACTAGTAATTCTCATCGTTTTTTTTTGCATATTCTTCTACACATATTCAAGGACTTTTTCCTTTGAATATTACTCCCTCCGTCCCATAAAATAAGTCTCATTTTTCTTTTTAGGGCGTCCCAAAAAATTGTTCTCATTTTTCTTTTTGGAAAGTTTTGTGTGGCTAACATTCATCTATCTTTTTCTTACTCAACCAAAATCATACATTTCCACTTTATTCTCACTTTTTTAAACTCTGATCCAAATTGAAATGGGACTTATTTTATGGGACGTAGGGAGTATCAAATTAATGTTATTCTCATCACTGCCAGATTTTTATATCACTGTTTCATGTCATTATCATATATTTATGTCACTTTTGAATGTCACTATTACCGTAAAACATTTCACTATATCGCCAGAAAATTTTTCGACAATCTTTTCCAGTAAAACCTTTTCCGGCAAAACTGTATACGACCGCCAGCGTTACCACCGACCACCACCTATCATCGACAACCACCAGTAGTCAAACCCTCATCCAGTACAACCCCTGCCCACTGCCACCATCCCTCTTTCACTCCAACCTTCTGCCATAACCTAGCAACCGTCGCTAACCCTTTCCCCCATCTCCCCCGCCACCGCTTGAACTGCCACCCCAACCGCTCAACAGTTACTTTAGAAAATATAGGCATGCCTCATATCTGAGAAGAAGGATGACGAACCGTCGGATATAGAAAAAGGAGAAGAAAATGAGGAAGGCGATCAGACCTGCGGTGAAGAGGAACGACGGTGATGAGCAACAGTGGCGGCGAAGAAGAGCCTGTGGTGAGGTGAGACGGCGGCGTCGAAGAGGTAGCAGTGAGGCAAGACAGTGGCGTCGAAGAAACAGCGGCGAGGCGAGGCGGCGGCGAAGAGGCGGTGAAAGGCGGCACTGGCTCCTATGAGGTGAAGTGCTGGAATGAGAAGAGGGAGGCTCCTCTGGTTTCTTTCAATTTGGGCGAAAGTGAAGGGGTGAAATTAGGGCTATTGCTCATTAATTCTTGTCACATTCGGGGAAAGAGAAAATTAAGTCATATATTGGGAAATGTAAATGTCACGAGTCATATCTATGCCATTAATTCTATTTAATATTATCTCCTTTTCAAAATCAATGGGACACTTTTCTTTTTTGGATATTTTAAAATAAAGTCGCACTTATTTATTTGGTAAACAAATAAGGAGTATACATCAATACAGTGCAAAACTGTAACAAACAATGTCAAAATAATGTATTTTACAGTAAAATTTGCTTCAGGAAAAAAAATCTTTATGAAGTCAAAGTGTGTCATTGATTTTGAAACGGATGGAGTATATGTTGATGATAACGTCTAATTGAGATGAAAGTTGTACATGTAACTCTTCTTTGGGAGAGCAACAATGATGTCATAATACTCAAGATACTTACCAATAATTGTTACTCCATTCTTCCGATCTTAAGGTTCTCACATCCTTTTTCGGACGTCTCAATTGGAGTTTGAATTTCTCTTTTAGAAAAAAATTAGAAAAACAGCATGCATAGTGCTATCAAAGTTTAACTTCGATGTCAATTTTGTTTGATAATTGACTCTATTTGTATTTTAAAATGCCGTCCATATTATCTTTGTTATATATTTTAACAGTTCATATTAATAAAAATAGTTTCTCAAGTATGAGTGCATATTATCATTGATTTATGCAAGTTAATGGTGTTGGTCCCGGTTATACTGGATACAGTCTAGAGGGGGGGTGAATAGACTGTATTGGTTTTTAGCTTTTTAAACTAAGTACCAGATTTTACAGAATAGCCTGTTCTGTTGACAGAACAGACTGGCAGCGGGTGGGGTTCTGGTAGGGTGTTCTGTTGATTTAGCCTCACAGAAGCAAAGGCAGTAGGCCTTCTGTTAACTCGTAGGACAAGTTCTGCTGAACACAGATACCAAGTCTAAGGAGTTAGACAGTTCTATCTAAGTGCAGAAATTAAAGCAGTAAGTAAATGACACCAGGGATTTTTATAGTGGTTCAAGGAACAACTTGTTCCTCTAGTCCACTGTTCCACTAAGCTGTAAAGACTTCCGTTTACAATGCCTTAGCCCTATCACTTAAGAAGCTCTCCACGTCTTCTTCAAGTGTAGATGTCTCCTGGGATGCACTACCTAGCTTCCTTTAAGACTGGTCCTTTCACTGAGCTTCCTGGAAGTATCACCACTTCACTACTCCAGTTACTTGGACGTCCTTCTTGTAGCAAGAAGAGTTTCTGTTAACACAGGGGTTCCTCCAACTAGCTTCGTTACAAATGATTTGTATATGATGAGCTTGAAGAGTTGAAGAACACTTGGAACTTTGCTTGAGTTGGAAAGAGTATTTTTCCAACTTCTGCCTTCTCCTGTAGAAGATGATGAAGTGTTAATCTCAAGGAGGCTTTTTGCTTTTCAGAGTTTGACTATCTTGTATGAAGAGTTGTAGCAATGGTTAGAAAAAATTGCAAAGTTATCCGGTTGTTCTTCGTAGTGTATCTTTTATACTGAGGTTGTCTTCCCGTTGGAGGAGTAGGAGGACAACTGCATTAAATGAGCGATCAGTTGACTTGACTAGTAGAGCCCGTTAAAGTTGGCGGGTTACTATTATGGGATAAAGTATTCCTGACATTGCGGCCAATCATCTGCAATTACTCTACGGAGCATGGGGTGCATTAAATGAGCATTTAATGCGCGTACTGTAGCTTTTCCGTTTCATACTCCTAGCCGTTGAAGGAATCTTTTAGTTGACTTCCCAGTTATGTGGAATTCTTCTAAGTGTCAGACCTTCTGGTGTCTTTAACTGAGAGTAGAACAGAGGAGGCCTGGAGCACTTCTGTTGAAAGTATATCCAACAGAGACCCAGAAGGATTTCTGTCTGAGTAAAGGCTAACAGAGACCCTGAGGTCTTCTGTTCTGGATCAAAGAACTAAAGGTCCTCTGTTTTAATAATGCCTTATGAGGGTCTTCTGCTCTTGGAGCCCTTCTGCTCAGAAGGTCTTCTGCCCTGACGGCATTCTGCCAAGTCGATTACACTAAGAACTTTACAAATGAAAATTCTAATACATTAAGTCTAAGTAGGGGTACTCTACAGTCCTAATTAATCTAGCATCATCAAAATCTAAATACAAATATTCCTTACAATTTCCCCCTTTTTGATGATGCCAAAACCCTTTAACTATTTCCAGAGAAGTGCCTTCACCATAAAGAAAGATTAAAGTTTAAAAACTTCCATTAAAATCTTGGTGGGCAACTTGGCATAGGAAAATAGTAAGAGTACAGTACATTCAGATAGCAGAATATAAAAGAAATAAGCAAACACAAGCAGAAGGCAAATAGACAGGAAATTGAAGAAAAGCACTTCAAAGTAAGAAGGCAGAGATGTGATTTTATTGGATAAGTTTTACAGAGTTAAATCTTACACATTCTCCAGATTAGCTGCTTGCAGAGCTTCTTCTTCCAATCTTTGAAGTCTGAGCAGTTCTTCATTGATCTCTGCTCTGATTTTGGACAGGTTGCCAGACCTTTGATAAGATGCCCAAATTGGAGAAAGCTTGCAGTCCAAATAGTTGAGAACACCTTCATGTATTGTCTTCCCTGGAACAATGTTCTTCTTATACCATTCTTCAGCTTCTTCTAATGATCCCCCATACCTAACTCTCACAACACCATCTTTGTCCAGATAGAGGTGCTGTTGTTGGGTGGGAGTCATTTTGGCCTTCATCTCTTCAAATTGAGCTCTGTCAATTTTTTGAGAATCACCCAATCTCCATTCTGTGAAGTTAAATACTTTCTTCTTCTTGGTGCTTTTCTGTACTGGAGATGGGGGCCTAGGTATGCCTGCTGCTCTCTTCTTCTGTAGGGCAGCTTCAAAGTAGGGAGCAGGGTCTACTGTAGGCTCAGCAGAGGAGGATGCCCTAGAAGTTCTGTGGGATCGAGGCCTAGTCTGTTGAGGGTCCTCTTCCCCCTTTTTGGCATCATGCAGATCTTCAATCATCAGGCTTATCTTCTGGAACTCTGAGGCCTGAGTGGAGGCTATCTGCTCAAGGGCCTCTGGTAGAGTCTGAGTGACAGAGGTCAGGCCTTCAATGAGACCTTGCTGCTTCTGTATGGCAGAGAAGATGTCTTTGTTATTGGCTTCAAGGAGCACCATCTTCTGATATCTGTCTCTGTCAGTAGATAGGAGAGCCTGAGCTTGTTCTTGGTGAGCTCTACACAATTCCTCAATGGAGGTCAGTTGTCTCTCTGTTCTGGCATCAGATTTCTTCAAAGCCTCAAGATGCTCTGAGATAGTGTTGATTGCCTGTCCTTGATGTAGAAGAGTCTGTTGAAAGATAGAGAGGGTCTTGTAGATACCCACCACTTCTGTTGACAGGACATCTATTCTGGCAGAAGAGGAGGCTATGAAGTTGTTGAGTGTTCCTGTGAGGTTCTCAAAACGATCAGAGATGAACTGCATTCCTGAATTGAGATTGTCATTCACATGAGCAAAGCGCCCATAGTGTTTGTCATTTATCTCTATCAGCTTGTTCATGCCTTGGAGGATCTGTCCACCAAAGTCTTCTGCAGATTCAACAAATTTGTTGAAGGGAATGTTATTCTGTTGTCCATCAGCTGGAGGCATCTCTAGACCTCTTCCCTTAGGCAAGGGGTGATGTTCTTGGACAGATGAGAGAGATTCTACAAGCAGTTCATGTTCCAGTTGAGTCAGAGGAGGGGTCTTCTGTCTCTTTGATGTGGCCTTGTAGGATTTGCTGATCATGAATCCATCCATGTCAGATGAATCTTCATAAGAAGAATAGATAGGGATTCTGTTGCGGACTATCTTCTTCTTCTTTCTGAGGGAGGGATTAGGGGCAGTAGAATGCCTTGAATGGCCTTTGGGAGCAGAGATAGGGGAA